GGGGGGGGGGGGGGGGGTTGGGGTAGATGAGGAACTGGTCCAAGACTTTATGCCACTACGCCTAAGCCAACTAATTCCTAACGATATAGCCCATATATCTTTGAGAAATAGCTAATGTGTGAGGGTTTCTGGTTGAATTTGGAATGGGTTGAAATTCCCATTATGAAATGACATCAGGTTAATCAAACCTCCTTAGATATGGACAACCCCACAGAAGTAGTCAGACTCGATTAAACAAAGTTTTGAATATTAGTGTAGGCCTACTTCGTCTGAAGGCTCTCTATAACGTCAACCATTGAATTATAACTCGTTCTATTAAAAAAATCAAGCCTCTTTATGTTGGCCTACGTATTAAGGTGCGGAAAAATAATCTACTTAATCATTCGCATTCCGTACAAACCACATACATGTATTTGATACATTTCATACTTAATTCAAGAAAAACCGGCAATTCTTTTAATGAAGGAGTAACCTACATTAACCCCCAATGAACCAAAGTAAGTACATTTTTCACACATGTCCATAATTTTGGCAATTGCAGCTATTGCAGTCAATGGCGAAAGTGAATTGATTTTGGATAAGCAGACTTCATTTGGCGACTTTCTGCAAGAACGCAGCATCAATTCCCTAAAGAAAAATGCCATCTGTGTTGCAAGGGTTAACATAACCTTTTCAACAAAGGAAAAGTCACGTGATCGGAAGTCGACTCAAGAAAAAAGATGGCCGATCATTAAAGATGAAAAATCAAGTAATTAGGTTGGTTGGACGTTTAATATATCTAAATGATCCATTTCAGCACCGAAATTGAGCATATTTTCAAATTGATAAGTTTTATATTTTACGGAGGGTCTCGTCTGCTTGCTCAATATGCGTTCAGTTGGGAAGGGATCGCTAATCGAGTCCCCAGCCTACTCGAACTCCTTCCAAATGAATTACTCAGATCTCAGACTCCGCTGGTTTTGTCTTCTGTCTTCGAGTCTGTGTTGAATTATTTGAAAAATTTGTATCTTATGTTGTTACGTACATTGTAAGTTTCGTTTAGATGTAAGGGTTTTCAAGACGAATTATCAATACCAAGAGAAGAAAGCTCTTTGACTTTACTTTGGCAGAATTACTACTGTCTAGGATCATCATACTGAAACTAAGGAAATTGATACTTAGTATAAGGTTATATAAGAGAAACTCTCTTATAGAAGCACTGGCCTAGGTCACAAGTAGGGACTGTGGATTTCAGCATTGGAATACATCAATTTGATAGAAAATTACCTACTTCTGGAGAGATAAGTTAGTTGAAGAGCAAGAGTGTCAAACGTGAACCAATTATCCTTGTTTAGAGAAACTAAGTCTGGGCTATCTCAATAATATTTTAGTTTTAACCATTGTTGGGATAGATCTATTATCAGGTTTCTTATTTGATTTCAATGTAAGGATATTATATATATGTTCTTTTTTGAAAATGACCTCTCGTCATATGTTACTTAAAAGGAATATCCAAAAATACAAGAAACATAGATAAATTGTCAAAGGCTTACTGCTATAATGAAAGTATATCTTCCCTTTCAATTTATTCAGTAAGCTTTTTTGGATGATGTCAAGTTATATAAGTCCTGTCTGGTATACCTGGTAATGTTAAATATTGATACAATGCAAGCGGTTGTGGCATGTTATATTGCAATGTTTTGATTCACTGATAATTCATGCTTTACAAAAGTTTTAGGCTGGAATTCCTTTTAATTCTTCATATTGGTGTCCAAGGTAGACCGTAGTAGCAGTGGTGTTCAATCCATCAAAATGGATTAGCTTAATCTATATAATTTCAAATCTTTTTTTTTGTCTTGCAGGTGAAAATATGGTAGTTTTATGTTATAGTCTGAGAGTGAAGTGACAATGTGTTGTCAGTTGATTTTGAAGATTTTGGTCTTTTTGGGTAAGAAGTCACACCATCTAATTTTAGTCCTGAATTCTTTTTATTTTGATATTAGAATACTACTTAATGAGTTGGGACAGAATTTATGTCATTAGCCTAATAAGGTACTGAAGAGTAGGACATTAGCCCAATAAAATACTGAACAGTAGGACATTGGTCCCATAAGAAACAGGACAGCAGGACTTTAGCCCAACAAGGTACTGAACAGTGGGACAAAAGACCAATAAGGTACTGAACAGCAGGACTTTAGCCCAACAAGGTACTGAACAGTGGGACAAAAGACCTATAATATACTGGTCCAATAATATACTGGTCCATTAAAGATAAGACTACTGTAATGAATTAACTCTATTTATTTTCTAACTTTCAGCGTTGAGCCTGCCTTCAATTAGTGTCAGTATTAAAAAGGTGACAGTGTTCAATGATATCTCTTTACCGTGTCCAACGATACGAGGCGACGAAAAGGTCACAGGAACTCTTTGGCACAAGAATGGATTGTTTTTCGTGTCGCTACGTTTGGATCAGGTGAAATATAAAGACGATGCTTTGGAAAGTAAGATCGATATCAACGTGGAAAACCGAAGTTTGACAATATATAACCTCTCAATACAAGATACAGCCAATTATACCTGTAAAGTTTACATTGAGAATATTCAAACATTTGAACGGAATATAACTCATCAACTTATTGTACAAGGTAGGTTTAAAATTTAATTTCCCAGCTTGATTTAATATCAGACACAACATCTTGTTTAGGTTCTGTTTTAATTTTTCAAATTTAAGGCATAATAAAGGCTTTTAAGACCAGAAGCACAGGTGGAGGTTGAATTCCCCCGGCATGTGTAGAAAATCATTTCAGTTTGCTTGATGTGATATCAAACAATATCAAATTTAAGGAATAATACAGACTTTGAAGGTCAGAAGCACAGGTCGAGGGGGAAATGGAGAATGGAACATGTTTAGAAAATCATATCTGGTCGTTCTAGACAAGTTTGCATTCTGAACTTAATTTGACGTCAAGAAAATACAAATTTAAGGCATATAAAAGATCTTTGACGTCTTAAAAGCTCTTTTAGCTTTTAGGATCAAAAGCTTATTCATGCCAAGGTGTTGTACAATTCTGCATCATACAGTGAAAAGCTATTCTTTAATCTATAGCCATCAAAGCAATTCAAATGAGTCTTATTATTCAGGTCTATTTCCCCTTTCACTTTAATTCAAATTCTGTAGCTTGGATTATTCAGACTAAAAAAAACTTGAATTGAATAAAAATTTTAAAATTTATTTGTTGACTTTGAATTGCAAATGAAATCCATTTGAAAATTTTTAGTTTCTGTATTAAAGGGAACTACTTGAATTGAATCAAGTTTCTTTACTTGTTGACTTTGAATTGCATATAGAATTTGTATTTGATTGTAGATGTACCAAGTGCTCCCAGCAAGCCGATTATAGATGAAGTAGCAGCAACAGAAGCCAGAGCTCGGTGGAATGGTAGCGAACTCAGTAACAATAGTCCATTGACTGTTTATATTTTAGTTATTAAGTAAGCTTAATAAACTAACTTTATCCATACCCAGAATAGATCAGTGGAGATCTTTGTGTACACTGGGATAAAGTTCAAAATATAAACCTTCAAATAAGTCCAAATTCTGACTTTTTGATTTGCATATATGAACCAGTCATGTCTGACTAGAGCTCTAGACCCTTGATTTGCATGTGTTTGTGCATTATGTCTGAATAAAGTTCTAGACTGTAAGTTGATTCCAATGGTTGTTGTTACCAGTCATGTCTGACTAGAGCTCTACACTGTTGTTTTGACTGTATTTACTAGTCTTCTTTACTGTTTTTTGACTATATTTGCCAGTCATGTCTGACTATAATATATCCAGAATTGCACCCTGTGAAACCTTGCCCATTTTCATTAGTCCAATAAGATACAGAAGAGTAGGATATAAAACTATATTTCATTTCATTAGTTCAATAAGAAACAGAACAGTAGGATATAAAACTCCATTTCATTTCATTAGTTCAATAAGATACAGAACAGTAGGATATAAAACTATTTCATGTCATTAGTCCAATAAGATACAGAACAGTAGGATATAAAACTCCATTTCATTTCATTAGTTCAATAAGATACAGAACAGTAGGATATAAAACTCCATTTCATTTCGTTAGTCCAATAAGATACAGAACAGTAGGATATAAAACTACATTTCATTTCATTAGTTCAATAAGATACATAGTAATAGGATATAAAACTCCATTTCATTTCATTAGTTCAATAAGATACAGAACAGTAGGATATAAAACTCCATTTCATTCATTCATTCATTTTACTTCTAGATAAGTGATTGGTTGTTTATTTTTTCAGTAAATGTCAGACGACAAGAGGAGAAAGAGAAGTGACAGTTGGCAGTGATAGCCGTGAATTAATAATCACTGATCTTGAACCATATACCTGCTATCGTATTAAAATAACAGCTAAAAATATCATTGGACGCAGTTACTTTTCACCCCCTAGTGATGACTTTTACACTAAATCTACTGGTAAGAGCAAATTTTAAACTGTTTGTGAACTCTTTTATTGCAAATTGACATCTTTTTTGGGTCTTTTTTTCAAAGCATCATAACAAATTTTTCAGAGAAAGTAATTTTTGATTTTTGCTGTGGTCTAATGATATCTATTCTTTCATTATTTATTTATTTATTTTTTATAGCTCCCCAAGCAGCACCCAAAAATTTCAAAGCCTTCAGCCCCAACAGTTCTGAGATCTGGTTAGAGTGGGACTCACCCTCTTCGGCTGGCATTAACGGGCAACTGAAAGGTTTTATTATACTCTACAAAACTCAAGGTTTCATGGAGGAGAGCCTTAGACTTGATAGTCCAGGGGAAACTGTAGGTTGAATTTTATTTACTCCATTGTCTACTCAAGGCAGACATGGAAAAAGTGTCTATAGGCCCCAAGTGCTACAGGCTGTGCACGTTAAAGATCCCTCGACAGCTGGAAATCGAAAAGAGCAGACTAATGCCGCTATCCTGGCAAAATGTCCGTCATTGCATCCTGCGTGGCATTGAAAATATAGTTTATACCTTGTTTCGCTTTAGCAAGTGATTGTCTCAGAAATAGATACCATGTTTTACTGTAGCATGTCAACTTTCACTGAGTAGTTTGGTCACCTTTCTTAGCAGGTCATTGAGACTTTGTTTAATTGTCCCTTTGAATTTAGCAAATGAAGCTACGAGGGTTAAAGCCATGTTAAAAAAATCTACTCTGTTTAACTGTTTCTTTTATTGTTCAATATCTATAGCAAATGAAGCTACAAGGGTTAAAGGCGTACACTATGTATACTGTATCAATTCAAGTATATAATGAAATAGACGCAGGACCTACAGAAACACTGGTAGCCCGAACAGCTGAAGGAAGTGAGTTTTAAGGTTTTTTAGGCATTGCCATTAAAGGGATAGTTGCCCCAAATTTTTTGACCAATTGGGAATTTTTTAGCTAAGCCAATCAGTAACAGTGTTCAAAGCTCACCATCGAAATTTGAGCCTTCAAATCCATGTGTGTGGATTTTACATAATGGCATATTGTTTACAGAGGATGTCGAGTCCTCTGATTGGCTGTATCTGGAAGCATACTATCCAATCAAATTGCTTCATTTAAGGACTTCCATGATACAAGAGACATTGCAGTCAAGGTATTAGACAAAGTTTGTAATAGCTTGACATTTTTTCGAATTAGATCAATCTCCTTCACTAGGGGTTAATGGACGCTTTAAAGAATATATTATTAGCTACACATCTTACCGTACTGTTGACTCTTTACTCTCATTTTAGTTCCATCTGCTCCAAGAATTACTCATCTTACTGGAAGGATGTCTGACTCGTTCCATGTTCATTGGGAACCACCACAGGAAACTAACGGCGTCGTCATAAAATACGAACTACAGTGGCGCCACAATTCTACGTTGCGAACTCGTATAATACAGGGACATCTAGCTAATCCTATGATAGCTTACGTTACTAACTTAAGTAAGTTGTCTTCCAACTGTATCAAATCCAATTTATTTAGATTATTTTGTTTCTAATTTTTCTGATATTTTTAGTCTTCATTATAATCTAACAAGTTTTTTACCATAGTCCTGTTCTAATGATATTATACTTAACCAACGAATTCTGGGCAAACAACCGCAAGAGACTGTCATAATGTTCTACTCCATTATTCGTCAATATTTTCAAGTAATTGATCTTTGCAGGACAGGCATTGATTTGTTAGAATAATGTTATTAGATTCTGATGTCACAGCCAGTGATTCCGAGAGTCTGTCTAGTGTCGCCTTCCATCTCCTATCGACAATATCCAGCCTTGATATAAAACTTTATTTTCAGAACCTTACACGGAATATAAATTACGTGTAGCAGCGTTTACTGGAGGTGGAAAAGGACCTTTTAGTGAAGAACATCCAGCCTTGACTGATCTTAGAGGTAAGCTATATTTAAAATAATAGCATAATTTTGAGACCTCTTTGGGCATTCAATTTTTAAAAAAAGGTCAAAGATCTTGGAAAGTGTAGAACAGTAGGATATAAAACTCCATTGCATTTCAGGTCCTAGTGAGCCTATATTTAAAAACCTAACCGTCATAGCACCAGACCTCCTGTATATATCATGGAATAAACCAAATCTGTATTATAAAAATATTGATAACTATCTATTGAGATGGACAGAAATTGATGCCAAAGGCAAGGCTCAGGATAAATTACTGAATGGTTCAGTCCAAGAGGTAAGAACAACTGTTCATTTTTTCTAAGAGCTTTCGGGGATGATATTTTGATATATGTATGTTTATGTATTGTAGTTTTCAATGTGTTTTTTTATGTGTATTTTGGACACTGATAGCATTCACCATTCCAATTTCAATCAGATGTTTGTGGTTGTTGTAAGCTCAAAATAACTAAGGGCTTTTGCGATAGTGACATCAATTTTAGTGGAATTGCAGGAACCATAGACGTCGGACTAAAAATTGGAATTATGCAAATTGATGCTATCAGTATCCCTGATATACATAAAGAGTAAAGAAAACCTCTTTCAGTTTTTATAATTGATAAATTATGATGGTATTTTTATCTGTTTTTTTTTTTGCAGTTTAAACTAAGATTGCCCCCAAATAAGATGTATAAAATAAAGATGGCTGGAATATCAAAGGCCATCTTCTCCAACAGCCATTTTGTGGGAAAGTTCACAGAATATAAAGAATTTGTTATGGGAGGTAAGGATGGTAATTAAATAATATATATTACTGTATTGTTATCAGCAGAGTGGAATTGGGGATGGGTTGTAGATTAGTTGGTTGGAGTGTTGAAATCATTATATGACATCATTTGCTTGATTAACCAAGCTTTTAACCATATGACTATTAGATGAGTGAAATTAAGGATGGGCAGTAGCGCAGTTGATGTAGAGTGTTGAAATCTTTGCATGGAAAAATTTCTTATCTAGGAAGCCAGAGAATACATCCAATACGACTTTGAAAGTTAAAGTAGAATAAATTTTAATTTTTTATGGCCCAAGGGTAGGCCCCTCCCTAAATTTTTGCCCTAATTGAACCCCAATAACTATTTATTACAGACCCGAATGCAGAGTTTGTAAATACTGGAGATAGTTCTGGTATCATTGCTGGTGTGGTCACAGCTATCATTGTTATATTAGTCTTAGTTCTTATTATTGTTAGCTATAGGTAAGTTAAATGAGCTTTTAGGCGAGGTTTTTCAATATTTCTTTTGTCTGGGTGTTGTGTAAAGTTATTTTTTTTTGCATAATTGAAAATTAGTAATCGAGCTGTCAATTTTGAAAAAAATTTCCCTCATTGCATACTGATTGATGATGTCTAACTTCATTGTTTGTGTCCATTAGACCAATCAGGAGCAAGACCAAAAACTACTATCATTTCATTTATAATTGTAGATCATTCCAATGTAGAAAATGTTATCAAGCAGCCTATTATTATCTAGCTGTACCTAGTAATTCCAGTTCAGCACCTACAACAGTTATAACCGTAGCAGAACCTTCAGGTTGGTACAGTATGTTTTGTGAACTTATGCTTTGATCAGTCTTTTTTAAAGGGATACTACCTCTTAGGATGAACATAAAATTCAAATTTTTAAACTTGGCCAATAAGAGTATTTTCATCAGTGGGACTTACCTGGTGTCATAACTATACAACAGAAACCCTGTATAATTTGATAAATTCATAAAACATTGTGATATTGTCCCTTTGAAGTAGTAATTAGTGGACCTACTAATTAAGTATTTGTGTTAATTACAGATGAAAAGGAATACCCTGATATAGCAGTAGATAATTTTATATCTCATGTAGAAAGTCTACATGCTGACAGTGATTTCGGCTTCGCTCAAGAATTCGATGTAAGTCAGCATATTTTCTAAGGACCTTTTTCTCCCAAAACTTAGCTTAATTTTAATCAGGATTTGAGTTGATTTTAATTTTAGCTTCCCCGAACTCATCTTCGAAATATAAAGCTATTTCGAACCGAGTCTTATACTTAGACTGCAATTGCCATCTTTCATGTATAACGAAATTTTGCAGGGATTTGATTGGATTGTATGCAAACGAATATAGCCAATGCCATCACAGAATAAGAAGCTGTTCGTAATAACTTGACATTGTGAAGATGGTTTTTAACTATGAAAATAGTTTGCAATTGATATGGAAATTGTTGACCTTATTGAAAATGATCTGCTATCTTTTATATTATTTTTTCCCCAATCTAATAAGGAATCTTCAATGTAAGATTGACTAGATTCGTTGCTCCTGTTCAGTGTTTGATATAATGGTAATATATTTCAGGATGTCAATCGGAATACTAAAACAGATTTTAAATCTGACAGTTCGGCTCAACCTGAAAATAAGGGCAAGAATCGCTACATTAACATAGCAGCTTGTAGGTTTATTAATATTTTTATATGTCTTCATTTCTTTTCCTCATCACACACTGCAACTAGTTGCTTATATTCATTAGTTCATTTCATAATACATTGTAGTGTAAATGAGAAATACTGATAGATACAAATTTGAGATTTTGCAGCATAAATAAAGATCCCTCAATAGTTGGAAATCGAAAAGGGAAGGCTAATGCTTCTGTATTTACAGAATTTCTCTATTGCACACTGCTTTATGTTGCTAGTTTTCTTAAACCCAATCGGGACATTATTGTAGGATGTAAAACTCCATTCATTTCATTTCATTCGTACCAAAGGACAAGCAAAGAAATGCTTATATTGGCATAATAATTTATAAAAGAATTGCACATGATTAGTATATCAGGAGGGCTATTTCAACTTTCACCTCGGCCTGTGCTTTCGTAATTTTAATTATATATTGATGTTACAACCACTCTTACCAAAAGTGACTCAGTCAGCATATTTTACAGGGCCATTTTTATAACATTATGTATATTTCCTTTTTCAGTTGACCATTCTAGAGTAGTATTAAAAACAGAGCTTGGCAGAATACGTCAGTCTGACTATATCAACGCTAATTATATAGATGTAAGTTCATATTTACTGGCATTATTTCAAAATCAAAATAAAGACAAATTTTAGACAATTTTCACCCAAAATGATCATTTTTAACATAAATATAAAGAAATTATCAGAAATATAAGTTATACCTTAGACATTTTTAGAATATAATTGAAGTAACACTTTTTTGTTCAGACAATTTTTACCATTGGAGTAATCATTTGTTTGATCAGGTTTTGATAATTTTCAGGGCTACAAGAAACCACGAGCCTATATCGCCACCCAGGGGCCTCTACCCCAATCTTTTGGTGACTTTTGGAGAATGATTTGGGAGCAGAATACATCAGTCATAGTTATGATAACTAATTTGATGGAGAGGGGCAGGGTATGGATACTTTTCCTTCACTTTTGCTTCTTTAAAATTTAAAAGACGGAACTCAATTTTCTGGTATACTACTCATTTGTTTTATTGTAAAAGGCGTTTTTACGATGTTAACATCTTAGGTTCACAAGGATCCTTTCTATCAGCTGGTCCTTGACCAAATCTCTTGACATTGATTTTACAAGGATAACGACTAAGGTTCACAACGATCTTTCTATCAGCTGGTCCTTGGTCAAACCGCTTGACATTGATTTTACAAGGATAACAACTTAGGTTCACAAGGATCCTTTCTACCAGCTGGTCCTTTGCCAAATCTCTTGGCATTGATCTTTGATGGATTATCCGTACCCATTTACAGCTGGGAATGGTATTATTTTGTGTTTGTAGAGAAAAACCCTATTTGCAAAACATGACAACAAAAATGCGTCAGAATGTTTTTCTTAATCAAAGTCTTTCTTTACAGAGAAAATGTGATCAGTATTGGCCTAGTGATGGTTTAGAACTATACGGAAACATGTCCGTCAAGATATTAAACACTGTACCTAGAGCTCATTATACCATTCGAATCTTCTCTCTACGTAATATGAAGGTAAAAAAGGTATGCATGCTTCAGTAGTGGCACTTTTGTTTTTTTATTTTGTTTTCATTTTGTTTTTTATTTTAATCAACCAACGTCGGGCCTTATAGTTGATAACCTTACTATTCCAGTCATCTGATTGGTCAATCACTATAGCTGATTTAAAATATTGTTTATTATCCAATCAAATGACTGTATTTCTTAACTTAAGATGTTTTTAGATTTCCAGTCATCTGATTGGTCAATCACTAAAATCAATTTTGAATTTTAATTTTGTTTTATTATCCAATCAGATGACTGTACTTCTTACCTAAGATGATTTTATAGTTCCAGTCGATCTGATTGGTCGATTTGTAAAATCAACTCCATTCATTTCATTTAAAGGAATGCCTAACAGTAATTTAGTTTGTGTATTTTTTGCATTTTCTCTATTTTTGAGTATTAGTCTTTGATTAATTTGAAATCATTTTTTGTTGTTGTGAATATTGAATTGTAGCTAATCAGTGTTAGATTTTAGTGTTTTGCTTTTAACGTTTAATTTTTGCCTGATTTGTTCCACTAACACCAGTTTGAAATAGATGTTTTAGTAACGACTTGTTTTTTTGATTGTTAATTTTGATAACTAGCTATCTAATGGCAGATATTGCTTGAAATATTTTTATACATAGATTAAAACAAACTGATAATTTTCTTGTGTATCTCCTCGAAAAAATCTTTGATTAAACTCAGCTCTAGATATCGTGGGTGACCGCTTGAAACCTCTGATAAGTTAAATGACACGAAATTACTATTCGAGAAAAACTCAATAAACTTTTTGTACGCATATTTTGTTAAAATCTTTTTTAATATTTTTTTTTACCGCTATACATGGTTTTTATTCTTTGAAAATATAAACCTTGTATAACAATTTGAGTTCTCCGGCCTATTGAACCAATAACTCGTATAAAAGTACAGTATACAAGGTTTTTTGTTTTGATCTGCAGAAAAAGGAACATTGAACCTTGTACATTATAATATTTTACGAGGTTTTAAATCTGACTGTGAAGGGCCAGGGTTCAAAGGGTAAAGGTCAACCCCTATGATAACACTTTCATTTCATTTCAGAAACATTCGGTGAAGGGAGTTGGTGAAAGACTGGTGTACCAGTATCATTATACGGAATGGCCAGATCACGGTGTTCCAGACTACACCCTCCCCCCGTTAACCTTTATTCAGAAATCAGCTGAGGCGAATCGTGAGGGTGGGGGACCAATAGTCGTTCATTGTAGGTTAGTATAGACTCGGTAATTTCTTAGCAATCTTTAGTTTTGATTGACTAATACTTATGATGCCTTAGCAACAATTAACATCTGATCTATTTACAATGCTTTGAGGCCCAGAAATTCTTTTCTTTGAGATGATGCAATGAATCAATGCCCAGTTTGGTACTGACTGTGTATGTGTAAGGTCCCTTGACAGTTAGAAATGAAATAAGAGTAGATGCCGATGCCACTTTCCGGGCGAAATTTCCATAATGTATGTGGACCATGTTAATATTGGCCATTAGTCAAAAACTCCTATTTCATTTTACTGGTCCAAAATGTAACTAGACCTCATAATTCTTGTTAAAAGTATATAAAACTCCCTGTCCTGTCTGTTTTCAGTGCTGGTATAGGTAGAACTGGTACTTATATTCTAATAGACAGTATGATAGCTCAAATTAAAGATAAAGGTATCATCAATATACCCAGTTTTCTTCTACATATACGAAAACAACGAAATTTCCTCGTTCAAACTGAGGTAAGTCATCTTTACTTACCATGAGTTATTGCCCTTGTTATTTTTTTGTCTGTTAAACAAAATGTACTTGTTCCATTTTTATTTTATAATTTTTTTGTTTTTTTTATTTTTTTATTTTTTTTTTATTTTATTCATTTATTGTATTTATTGTATTTATTTATTGTATTTATTGTATTTATTTATTTATTTATTTATTCTCTCTGTATTTTAGGATCAGTATATGTTTATTCATGATGTGATAGTAGAGTATTTATTAGGTGGAGGAGAGTTAACAGAAATACAAGAGAATAACCTGAATAATTATATCAGTAAGCTAGATCAAGAACAAGAACTATGTAACGGCACCACAACTATCTGTGAATCTCAACTTCTTAAACAATATAAGGTGCGTATCATTCCTTCGTGTTTTCAAATAGCAATAGCAAACATGAGAAGTAATTCTAAGATTTTGTCTTTGGAACGAGTTGCTCTGTTGTAGCTTACCTTGAATGGGTTTTGCCCACTGGACAAGTAAATCTGTTGTTACCTTACCAAGTATTTTCTGCTGCTTTTTCTCGAGAATGAAGACTGCAGCCTAAACAATTCATTTTCAGGCAAAGGTAGGAAATATGTCCGACAACACCTTAATTTTTTTTTTTTTTGTTCTTTGATGAAAAACATGGCAATTTTTGTAGGCAGAATGTCTCAGAATTTTTTTGTTGTTGTCATTTTCAGTTGGCTACATCACATATTGCATCAGATGAGGACAAATCTCAAAGTTTAAAGCCTTATAACCTTGATAAAAACAGGAATTTAAACTTACTACCGGTGAATTTAAAACGTGTCACGCTGCCAGCAAGACCAGGAATCGAAGGTTCTGATTATATTAATGCTACTTATCTTCAGGTGAGTTTGGGATATTTTTTCATGTAGACTCTCCAAATTTTGTGTGTGAACTCTCTGTAGTGACTCAGTGAGTTTGACGTTTGCTCACAAACCTGAAGGTTCAGAGTTCCATCTGTCACAGGTCGAGATTAAACCTTCAGATTTTTCAATGCTATCTTTCCCTGATATACATAATAGTTTTAGAAATCCTCTTTACAATCTATTTAATAAAATGTGTTAATTTTCAGGGTTATTATAAATCAAATGAGTTTATTATTAGTCAACACCCTATGGAGGATACTGTGGAAGATTTTTGGAGAATGGTGTGGGATAGATCTAGTCCTGTTATTGTAGTTTTATCTCAAATAGATGAAGAGGTGGGTAGTTGTTTATCATGCCATGGGGTGGGGAAAGGGCAAGGGTACAGGTCTGGTTGGGTATAGAGGAGGAGGGTGGGGTTGTTGAAGACCAACCTTCTGAATGATATTTTTCACTGATCATAAGGGTTTTTCGTTGAGAAAATGCCAAATGTCAAAGCATGCCTATTAGCACTGCAGTCCTTTTTTGAGCATTGTTTGAGATGCAGAAAAGTAGGCCTGATAACTCTCTAGATTGACATTTTTTTGATTCAAAATGTGATACCATTTATTTTGTCAATTGTGTAGGATCTGAAGACATTTTGGCCAGAGAAAGACAACTCTCTGGAGGTGACCAACGTGTTTAAATTGGCTTTACGTGTAGAGGATCAGGAAACTCAAGAAAATATCAAAGACTTTATATTAGAGTCTACTCAGGTAGGAGCCATTCTGGACAAAATTCTGGGTGTATATAGAGTGAGGAAGTTCATAGAAACACTGGCTGAGGTTTACTCGATTTGAAACTCTTTTTTGCCATACCTCGTTATATTCATATTATAAGTTTTGTCTTGTGTTAAAGAGCTCCGATTTTAAAATGGCCTTTTGTTTATATCGCCTTGAAAACTCATTTTGAATGCCTTTTGTGTTAGTATTTCCTTGGGCACTAGCCCGTCTTCATTAGCCCACATGGTGCAGAAAAGTAGGAGGTAAAACTCCATTCATTTCATTCCCTTGGGCACTAATTGTAGATTGATATTACCAGACTGTTAACAATTATTAAAATTTTCCAAGTAATTCAGTTTGCTGGTACCCTTAGAGGCTTCAAATAATTCAGTTTTGAAACTAGTTTTGTAGTAATACTATTTTGTTTATATTTCAGTATGACTATACATTTATGACGAAGTTGATAACAACTCAAGGGGCGATATGGCCAGATTCGTGTCAACCATTACATTGTGTATTTGATTTAATACAACTAGCTCAGAAATATCAACAATTTAATGATATCGGACCGGTGATAGTTATTGATAGGTAGGTCTGATCGACCAGCTGGTACTTGTCCAAATCTCTTGGTAATGATTTTACATGAATAACAACTTGGGTTTTAGAGGATCCTTTCTACCAGCTGGTCCTTGACCAAACCTCTTGGTAATGATTTTACAAGGATAACAACTTGGGTTCTAGAGGATCCTTTCTACCAGCTGGTTCTTGTCCAAATCTCTTGGTAATGATTTTACAAGAATAACAACTTGGGTTTTAGAGGATCCTTTCTACCAGCTGGTCCTTTACCAAACCTCTTGGTAATGATTTTACAAGAATAACAACTTGGGTTCTAGAGGATCCTTTCTACCAGCTGGTCTTTGTCCAAATCTCTTGGTAATGATTTTACAAGAATAACAACTTATGTTAATGAGGATTCTGTCTACCAGCTGGTTCTTGACCAAACCTCTTGGCATTGATCTTTCTCTGATTATCTGTATCCCTTTACAGAGAGCTGGATAGTCTTGAATAATGAGGACAGATAACTTATTCAGTACCCACTAACAGCTAGTTTGATTGGAATAATTCACTATATATGTTTAATTGTTACAGGGATGGTGGTGTATCAGCTAGTAAATTCTGTGCTCTCTGGACTCTGTTTAACCAGCTAGCCAACGATCATGTGATAGATGTGTATCAGTTAGCCAAGTTATATCATTTAAAACGCCCGGGTGTTATCGGTGAACAGGTATTGTCTAGTTTTTTCATTTCTTCTTTGCCTATCTGAAGTCTTTGTTGAGCTGTTGCTCTGATCTCGCAGCTTTTGGCTTTCGTTTGTGGAACTTTATGAAGATGTCTCCATTTTACCCGCTGCATGCCAGGTAAAAGGGTAAAATTAATCTGTCCAACGACGATCTTAACCCAGCTCAAGTTCCCTGTTGGTGGGTGAACAATCCAACCCTTGTTCTTAAAGAGTTTCCTACCAGTAGAGTAAAACTAACCTTTCTCACGATGGTCTAAACCCAGCTCACGTTCCCTGTTGGTGGGTGAACAATCCAACCCTTGTTCTTAAAGAGTTTTCTACCAGTAGGGTAAAACTAACCTTTCTCACGATGGTCTAAACCCAGCTCACGTTCCCTGTTGGTGGGTGAACAATCCAACCCTTGTTCTTAAAGAGTTTTCTACCAGTAGGGTAAAACTAACCTTTCTCACGATGGTCTAAACCCAGCTCACGTTCCCTGTTGGTGGGTGAACAATCCAACCCTTGTTCTTAAAGAGTTTTCTACCAGTAGGGTAAAACTAACCTTTCTCACGATGGTCTAAACCCAGCTCACGTTCCCTGTTGGTGGGTGAACAATCCAACCCTTGTTCTTAAAGAGTTTTCTACCAGTAGGGTAAAACTAACCTTTCTCACAACGGTCTAAACCCAGTTCACATTCCCTGTTGTTAGGCGAATTTTGAATTTTTCCATCTTTCATCAAATTCTCTACGTTTTTTTCTATCATATGAGTTGCGTGCGATATTTGAGTTGCCAGATTATCGGCAACCAGCTCAACGCGTCTCCATAGTAATAAAAAATTATTTGTGTCTATTTCAGGATGATTATCTATTTCTATATAAAGCTATAGAGAGTTTATCTTTACATTATTTAGAAGAGAAGGAATCTGTGTCGTCCTCACCGAGGCACCATAACTCTCATTATGGTTCCATGAGAAAAAACGGTACACTACCACATAATAACACCAATAGTACTCTCAACAAGAGCGAAACTGTAATCTAATTTTTTATAATTTCATTTCTAAAGGGGGAAACAGCCATTTTTTGGAAGATTTTCTTTTTCAAACAAGGTTTGATAAGAAAAAACATCCCTAATTTGACAAATGAGATCTTCCAATCATACATTTAAGTAGAATAATGATTCAAAGAATGCATGTGTGGAAGAGTTCAATAGAAAGTCGGGGGGTGTTGAATAGATGATTAGCCTATATTAAGCCTTGCTGGTCAGTGTCATGAGATAAGTTAATTATGATACAAGTTCCTACTTCATGAAAGCTCGACTAAAGCTCAAGCTCATTCCCAAGCTATGGCATCAGAGGAGGGTTTGAACCCACAGCACCTAATCACCAGACAGATAACAATCTAACTCCCTACCGACTGAGCTACTTCAATAAAGGGACATACCCTCTTAGGAAATGAAATTTTGCAATATAGCTGGACCAAAATATTGTTAATATGATGTTTTTAATATTTGATTGTATATAGATATGAAACTTACATTTTTTTTCACTTTATCAGACATTTTGATATGTTATGTTAATTTTTTAAGCTCCGGTCTAATTTTAGACTTCAGTTTTAAATCATAGATGCTGTGCATTTTATGATTCTCGGGTTAGTTGCACGGAATTCCAAGCTTACCGTAGAAATATATTATAAGGACTCTGATTGGCTGATTTTTATATAATGGTTATGTTAACCAATCAAAAGATCTGTGTTAAAAGATAATATTGAGAGATCTGATTGGTTGATTTTTATATAATGGCTCATGTTAACATAACCAATCAAAAGAGAACTAAAAAATAATGTTAAGAACTCTGATTGATTGATTTTATTGCAGAAGCAATGTTGACCAATCAGATTTCTAGCTTGTCAGAAAAAGCATTTTGATTGGTTGATTTTATTGCAGAAGCAATGTTGACCAATCAGATTTCTAGCTTGTTAGAAAAAGGATTTTGATAGTTTGATGAAGGGTATCCAGATTTTTTTTTGTCTGTGATGTCAGATTATCCTTGAAGCAGATGTTAACTTGTCATCTACCAACAAAACCTACCTTGGAAGGAATATTGATCGACTTGGTGATCAAGGTTAACAAATGAAAGACACAGACTACCTTTGTTAAAGCATAATAGCATTTCGTATTGTAAAATTGCTTGTAAATGGTGCTGTAAACTGTAATATTGTGATATCTGCATAGAGTACTCTCTCTTTAATACTGCTTTAACTTACAGAAGATAGGGATGTAAAACTCTATTTCATTTTCCAAAATTCAATACTGAGATCTGTTTCTGTTTAACAGGTGCTGTCTATATTTTTGGAAATACAGTCATCTGATTGGTTAATAAAGCTGATTTTAAAATGTTTAACCAATCAAATGACTGGAATACTAAACTAAGTTAAGATGTCATAAATTGATTAAAATTCAGAATCAAAATTTTGACGTAAAATCTATCATTTGTTTGAAGAAATTGAAGAAAATTTTGTGAAAATTGTAAATTTTATGTATGTTCTAGTTTTTTTTGACAAATCACAAATGATGAACCATTTTCTGAAATGGCGACTAACTTACTGTGTTTTCAACAAGATTTTACATGTTTCTTTTTGTCAACTTTTGTAAATTGAATAATCGTTACTTTGTTTCGGAATTTCTGCAAAGACGCCTTTATTCTCGCTCACTAAATTTGTATTTTGAGAAATATCAATGTTCCTATATAGGAATGAACTATGACCTCAACTATGTCAGGATATATTAAATCCTCTTTTGGGGTGTAATTTTTTGTGTCTTATGTCTTAAGATGTTGACATCAAATTTAGGACGTATTTTGGGATTACTAACTTTGATGTTTGAAGTAGACGATATAAACATAATTTCACTCTGTCTCTGGTAAAAGTAGGATGTAAAACTCCATTTACCTTCATTTTCGGTAAATTCCAGTTAATCTTTTGTGTTCAGTGAAATAATGATATCGAAATTTAAAACTTATAGATATTCTAGAATTATCAAATTTGATTTTGAATAAAAGTTGGTTTTTTTGTAAGTTTTATGTGGACTTTTAGGATCTTTTTCTGTTTTTTCACTCGCTAAAATTTTGGTCTTGTATAATATCGATCGAAATCTATGTTCAACTTTAAAATGACGTATTTTCTCTAGTGCTTACAAACTACCTGGTTAGTATTTTGTGTCTTAGTGTTGCTTTGTAATAAAGTCATCTTCACGATGTCAACCTATTACGAACTTCATACTTATACCTTGACTACAATAGCAACTTTTCTTGTATCACGGAATGCAGTGATTTGATTGATTGTATGCCAGAGAATACAGCCGATCAGATCCCTCGGCAGAAAGACTTTAAACAGCTGCAATAGCGAATATTTTTGTATCGGGAAGCGCAGTGATTTTATTTGATTGGATTGTACCCCAGCGAATACAGCCAATCAGAGCTCTCGACAGAAAACATTATACAAGTTTTACAAACTTTCTGTCAAGGCCTCTGATTGGCTGTAATTCATAAAGTACCATCCAATCAAGTTGCTTCATTTACAAACTTACATGATACAAGAAAGATGGATAATGCAGTCAAGGTATAAGTATGAAGCACGTAACAGCTGGACATTGTGAAGATGTAAGAAAGGGTGCTCGATTGGTTTTGTACTTTATTTATATTTTCATATTGTTGGTAGCTCCTTGTGGGTTTTTCTTAGATACTGTTATTTTTGTACAAAGCGTCTTTTTGAAATATTTGTAGTAGAATTTCTATTTATTGCATTGAAACCAGATTTTTTAAAGAATTGCTGAATGTTTTTGGTGCTCAACGTATTTTTAAGCTTTACCAATATTTTACAATTTGTAGTTGTTTCTTTAACTTTTTGTATTTTCTTTCACAAAGGTCTTGATGTTCCAAATATAATTAGACTTGATTGTCACATATATTTAACTTAGAAATCCATATTTATCAGTAGCTGTATATACATTAAACTATGTGTAATAAGTGGGTCAATAATCATTATGCACATGCAGGCTGTATACAGGAATAGTCCACTATTTTTAAGGGTGAACAAATAGTAATTGTCTCACTTATTACCATCTATTCTGTTTTTTTGGCACATCTTGGTCAAATTAAAAAATAAAAAGGAAAGGTCCACTTTATTTTGAGGTAGAATAAATAGTAATTGAAACTTTAGACTAAACTTGTACATTACTACTTACACTACCTAAGAATAAAATGGACTGGTCACGTTTTGAATCAGATTCGCATGTGCACAATTTTTGCTTGACGACATTACATTTACAAAAAGCCTTAATGTGGTGTAAATATTATTGACAAACTTAGCTTTTGTATATACCACTTTCTTTAAGAGACAAATATTGATGCTTCATACATGGAAATAACACACACGAAAGTAGTTCACGGCCATTTTGAATCTCTTCCTTAATGAGTCACATTTGTATGCTTTTAAATGTTAGATGGCTGAAATGAAATACTATCGCCTTTTTTAAAATTTGATTTATTAAGTCGAGGTGTGATTCAAAATGGTTGTAAACTACATTCAGTTGTGTTATTTCCATGTATGAATAATACGTAGTTTCGTATGGGTCAAATACATGTAAAAATTGCCCATTATAGTGATTTGATACATATCAAAATTATGGAAAAAAAAATAACAATTTGAAACTGGCTTTTAGTCTAAGTTTTAAGTTATATTTTGTCAATGGTTTTGAATTTTCACATTTTTGAAAATTAGAATTTGCTTTTATATTTTTCTTGAATAATTTTGATATAAAAATTCAACCTTTTTGCTGAAAGAAATTTAATTTGAGAAAAAGAGTCAAATTTGAAAATGTTTTGCTCAAAAATTATTTGATTAAGCTTGAATTTTGAATTACAATTTTGCTCTGGTTGGCAACATTTTTTTATTAAAAAAGTCAAATCTAAGATTTTTAAATAGTGTTTGCTCAAAAATAGCTACTACAAATATTGAAATATAAAATTATTTATGAAAAAATCTTTTGGCAAAAAGCACTAGCATAAGTTGTATAGCTTAAATTAATGGAAATCAAAGATGAACAAGCTATTTGGATATACTATTTCTAAATTATTATTTTAACGTTTCAGACAGTTATCAAGAGAACACAGCCTTTCAGAGCATTTGGAACATTGAGTTAAAGGGAATGTAAAGAGATTTTCTAAACTTTTTATATGTGTCAGGGACATTGTTAGCATCAATTTGCACCATTCACATTTTCAGTCAGATGTCTGTGGTTCTTGCAATTCTAAAGAAAATTATGTGTTTTATGACATCACAATGGCAAAATTGTATCCCCATTCACACAAAATATTTTAAATTCCTTAAATGAATGGAGAACTAGTATATCTATATATCTTGTGATTTGTTATCTATGCCTATTTCTAGATGTCTTTGAAACATAAAAAAGTAGATTTGCTTCAAAAAGTAGATATTGTTTTCTTCAACTGCATTTATTTTTAAGAAAATTGTAATAAGCTTGCCAAATAATTGTAAATATTCGTATTTGTGTAGTAATGCCTTAAATAGCAACTTTCCAACTTCATTCAAGTTCATAGTGTACAAATATTCAAGAATCCTGGTGTGTTTTATATTGTTGACACATTTAAGGGTTATTCTAGAGGTGTGTTGCAATAAATTTTGATGTTTATATATTTTATGTTTCTGAACTCTGAAAATCTTATGCTCTGAATTATGTGCTCTGAAATCTGAAATCTAAATTATGTGTTCTGAATCATGTGCTCTGTAATCTGATTAGCGCTCTGAATATCCTGTGTCCGGATCATGTTCTGGAGATCATGTTCCTGAATCGTGCTCTGAAATCATGTGCTCTGAAATCTGAGATCTAAATCATGTGCTCTGAAATCAGCGCTCTGAAAATCTGTGCTCTGAATCATGTTCTCAAGATCATGTGCTCTGAAATCAGCGCTCTGAAAATCTGTGCTCTGAATCATGTTCTCAAGATCATGTGCTCTGAAATCT